TCGAAAATTACTAAACCGTGCATGCTTTTGACTTTCCCGTTTTCATCGGGTTTTTAAACAATAATACTACGTAGACATTTAAACCGCTTCTTCATTCGTCAACGAACAGACAATATTTCCTTTCTAAAAACACGCTGCTATTAAAATTTGGAGCCTGGTTCCCCGGTATTTGAATTGTCAATGGAAAAAAAAAAAAAAAAAATTGCACGTAGTAAAATCTGTATTATATTCCTCGCTGCCCTTAGAATCTCCGATATTTGTACTTTTATCAATAGATCACATCATTTTTCGTTTGTGCATTAATAACTACCGCGAAAATAATACGTAACAATACTCGTATATCGTTATGCATTATAATCTACCCGGTAATCTGCGTCAAGCAATCAAAACCATTTTTGAATAATAGAATATTATAACATAATATTACGTGTACTGACAAAGGACGAGCATGAGATGGTATTAGTTTACTAGATTTAATTGACAATGGAATAGGTACGTTTTAATCACGTTTTCATCATTTACTGTGGATAACTTTTCAACCAGAAATTTCGCTCCAACATTTAATGATAGCAATTTTTCAAAAAATAAATTTCACGTTGGGTTGATTCACGATTTTCCCGGGAGATTTTTCAGCAAATGTTAAAAACCGGAAAAAAAAACCATGGAAAACCGTAGGAAAACCGGGGAAATCGGCATAACAATAAAAAATATTACTATAGAAAATAAAGAAAGCCTATTTAATTATTTTACTATATGACACATATATGGTTGACAAAGCATAGGTTGACAACTGAACTCTCCTCAGAATCATTTTTTCGTAAGCAATAGTTTATCGTTGCTTACAGTTATACATTGAATTACATATAACAGTGGCTGCACCCGCCCCCATTAACCTAGGACTACTTCTCTTTATTATTTTTTTTTTGACAATTTAAAAAACAATTTAGTAGCTCTAAAATGTTACATTACTCCGGTATTGTTTATTACCCTTGGAAAACTAACGGTAACATAGAATAAAAATTCGATTAAAAGTATACTATTTTAAATACTTTTTGTTGTTAAAATTCATGATTTCCATCAAACCGTTGATGAGATTATTGCACATTTAAATTTAGGTAGGGGGAGAGTAATTTCCGCAAAGCGTGCGGCGTTTGTGTAGTGCTTCGCCACTTTCTGTTTAAATACGGATTATTTCGTCAAAGGGTTGACGGAAATTAATATTTCAACGCCGATATGTATTTAATCTAATACTCCGACTATTTATAGAATATTTAATGGAGACAGTCGCTTAAAAATCAAACGTAGATAGTCGGTTCACCTCCGAAAATATGGCTAGCCAAAAATAATGGTATTTTCACATTTCATAGCTAATCGTTTCTTAAATTGTCAAAAGAAAAGTTCCGAAAAATGTTAATACTTCCACGTGATATCAAAATTACCATATCTTCGCTGAACGCAGTGTTTCCTCGTGATTGCTCCGGGGATAAACGTATACAAACAATTTTTCTCTCTGAAATATATTCTTTTATGATTTTTCGAATTCTTCCACTAAACCACCTTCGATATCATTAACATAGTTTAATAGTTGTTATTGTTTGGAAAATATTACCCATCATTTTTACGTATGACATACGAAAAAATAATACGTGAAGTTCGACTTACGTGGTGTTTATAGCAGGGTTTATCAAACTCGTGCAGTGGTAAACCCTTATCGAAATAATTTTTCAGTCAGTGGAAACATATTTTTCTCACGTCGCAGTAAGAATAATATTCTCCGGATATTCTCTCCTTCCACTACAATTCGGCTTGTAACGTAATGTACCGGGAGATGATAAAAAGGATTCGTATTATGTGTGTATGGGCAACGTTCGTTTATATAACAATGATAAATACAATATAATGTTTCGGTTTTATTAGGATATGATTTTGATTTTTTTTTTTTAATGCTAAACACTTTTCTTTTCAGAAATCATGCTCTTCGAGTATAGTGTCTTTTACGATAGAAAATACTATCTAGTTACTGTATTGAAGAAATTGTCGGTTTGATTTTTATTTTCGTGTTAAAAAACTACGTACAAACACGATTAATGTTCTTATCTTTATTTGTTTGATACTAGGTTATTTTTCAATCTGATACGCAACAATATTGTAGTTTTTTACGTTTAAAACGATTACGGTGTAAAACGCAACACCTTACAGAAAAACCACGGTCGCATATAAAATATTTTAAGTGAAGTTACCGCATTTAAAAACAGCTAAAGTAAATCTAACAGTGTTAGTAATGTTCCTTTCAAAAAGGATTTGTTCCCGTTTATCGTCCCTGCTGCCGCAGCGAAAATAACTCGTCCCGTTTCTTGGATTATCTTATGCATACTTATATCAATTATCAGCTGTCAAATGTATTACAGATTTTAATCAAACGGTTCAGCAACAAGCTTTCCGTTCAAATTGTCACGATAAATTTTTTATCGTTGACAAAAGCAACAAACTAGTTTAAAAAAATGTACAAAAAATTGTATTAAAGGTTTATTTGTTCGTTTTTTTTTTAAAAAAAATCATGGATTTATGACCATCTAAATAATTACCTGCGAGACAGAAAAAGGTTCGGATGTAGCAAATTGATATAAATATAAATTGATTGGCTGATTGATTGGATCGCGTTTGAAGTGTTGATTCGTGTTCTAACAGAATTAATATGACGTTTCCGATCAGCGTGTAGGTTTTATTTTTTATTTCCCTTTTCTAAATCAAATTAATTTTTTATTGATACACCGACAATTAATTTGCTCAACATTGTCGTCAGAGAAAAAAAAAGACAGTATTTTACGGTAAAGCGTGTGATAGCCATCGAATCCATCGGCTACATTTTCACCAAATTTTTGTACTTATATATTATAAACGTACGTTACAAGCTTTCAATGCTTTTTAGGAGCTACTTTTTAACTTCACCCTGTGCATAAAATATCACTTAGATACCGACTCGCTTACGCTCTTAAATGATATCCCGTTTCGTTTTGTTCTACAGACACCGCTGTCGGGGCCATTTTCAGATACGTTTTCGTTCTTCACACGCGTTTACGCGGTTGTTTTAACAGCTCGCCATGCACATCCGGTCTGCTACGACCGTTTTTTGACATTTATAGGTACCAGTCGTTCTAGATCCGTATTTTAGTATCTTTATAAATCCGTACATTTTTTTTACAAATAATTTCCTTTCAAAAACGTTTTCTCGTCGATCTTCGTGGTTGACAACGTTTCACAGGCACACGTGACAATATAATTATTATTATTAGTCATTGGTGCATCACGTGCGTTTGGTTTTCACGATAACCTTCTGGAACTAAACAATCGCCAATTATACAATTGTAATAAAGTAATTATTATTATAAATTCGCAGCTGTGGCGATTTTGCCGTAAGGATTTTGTTCCCTTGTTTTTTTTTTGTTTTTTTTTTTTATTACCTACCCAAAAGTATATAAATATGGTTATTATAATAGAAAGGATATTTTATACGTGTCCGAAAACCGAGCCGCATATTTTATTCGGGCCCAGATAATAATCCTCGGTTTGTTTACCGTTTCGTCAGCGATTCGACTCTCCCCCTCGACGAAACGAGTATACGTATAGTTTCATCGCAAAAATAAAATTTCATATATATATATATATGTATATATTTAACGACGACCACTATATACACTCGTAAAATCTGCTGCCAACCCCAGCTGAAAGCAAATTGTTTTTATTTTTTCCCGGTGAAATCAATAAACTAAGCACCGTGGATGTATAATATTATAGTGATACTTATATTTCGTTGTTGTTGGTCCCCAAAAATTTCGTACGAATAGAAATCCAATGAAACGCAAACGTTTCGGATGGTGGTGGTTGGAAATGATTTTCCGAATTTTCCCCACTTTCATTAAACTTGCAAATTATTGTTTACCGTTTAATGACCAATATAATGAAGAAGCCATAGTTGTTTTAAATCGATAGCCCTTCCCCCATTGAGCAATGGCTGTATGCAATTTTATTTTGTTTCTTTTTTAAGTATTAAAAAAATAGAGCTATGAACTACTGATCACTGTTACTGTAAGGGACAAGTTGAGAAGAAAAAATGCATAGAGTTAGTTAATTTAATCGGTACACAAAAATTAATAAATGCAGTTGACAATAAACGATTCTGAGCAAATTTCAGAAAAACAGATATGGAACAATTACATTTCATGAAACCGTAATAACATAAAAGTATAGCCGTATATTTTTCCTGGGTCGGGTTCCCAATAATTATAAAAATCATAAAATGTATTTTTCATTACATTGCCTTTTTCCAATCTGTTTTCACTAAAGACGATACAATCGAAAATCGAAGCGAGATTTCTGGTAGAAAAGTTGTGTACAAACCGGAAAAAGAAAACCACTAGAATCGAAAAAAAAGGCACTACATTTGTGGGGACTTTTTTTTAAAATCCACTATTATTACTATAATTTCGTGTTGTTTTAGATTTTACGACGAGAATACTGGGGGGGCTATTAAGATAATGTGAATTTGTTTTCTTTCTTTGGTACCCAAGCACTCGTTTTGGAACAGTTAAAACGTTCAAAAACTTTTATCCGTTAAGGATTTTCGGATAGGTAGGTAATTGCCCGAGAGTGTAATAGTAGATGCTTGTGGCCATAAAACAATGATGAAAAAAAAAAAGGACAATTTACGCAACACCAGTTTTTGTTCATGTCGATTTTGTTTCGTGCAACTTTATTGAATAAAAGTAGTAATCGTATGGAAACCTGCAATTTTCGCCGAATATCCACGGTACTTGTATCTTGATAAAGTTATAATTTCAAGAATATATTGGCTCATTTCAAGTCATTAACGGCTCTGCGCGCAAAACGTTTCGTTATCATAACGCTTATTTGAGAGACCTTGGCCATTTGATAAGCGAATTTTCATCGTGGGTTTCGCTTACCTAGGTTAAATTCAGTTTAAATTCAAACCTTTATGTGATTTTACGTTATATGATGATTATGACTATTTTGCAAAAAAAAAAAAATAACGCCGAATATTATCGACAACTGATCTGAATTAGGCGGAATATCAAAAATTATAATATAGAGCTTTTTAAAACGGTTTTAGATGCCGTATGGAGTCAAGAAGCCTTTGGCTTCACAATTATTTTTATTTTTATCTGTGAACGACTTTATTATCGGTAATATTGCTCCGATTTATAAGTGTAGAACTTTTTCCGAAGAAAATCTGGCTGGAATGGTACTGTATATATATGCCTTTTTTTTTTTGATTTTCCCGATAAATTTGAAAAACCGGGAAAAACACGGGAAAACCGGGAGAACGGGATAATAGATACGATTTTGAACAAAATACCCAAGGAAATTGTTCAACGCCTATGCGATTATTACACGATAATATGGCGTATGTATATTGTTGTCAAAGCAACGGTACCAAATGAACTCCGTTCGAAATCGTTTTTTCGTTGCCAATGGGTTAACCGTTGCCTACTGATGTACATAAAATTCCTCGTAAAAACGCCTCGCCTACGGCGGCAGCTGTTCCCGTTCCCATTGTCCTGGGACAGCTTTTGATATTTTTTTTTTAAGCAGATTACAGTATTTTCATACCGTGTTATAACCAACGGTATTTAACCGTGCACACGCGTCGCGGGGCCTAACAACAGCGATACGCGC